TCCCTGACACACAGAGGACACCAGCTGGCACCTCCTGGGCTTAGTCTCCACCACTGCTGCTGTCGGGGACCAGCCAGAAGATCTCTGCGTGAAGGCAATGCCAGCCCAGCCCATTCGGTGCCTTCTGTCCCCATCGCCTTCCCCCGTTACTAAATCCCTGATGACACCTGAATTCAAGGCAAATCTGGCCATACACAGTCAAATCCTTCCTCTCCAGACAAACTGGCTTCTTAGAGGCCCTCCTCACTGAGATTCGCTGTTCTGTGGCAGAGGGGAATGTCCAACCGGGCTCTGAAACAAAGGGTGAGTTTCCTCAGGCCCAGATGGGGCGTGGGGGGGAGGCCGGGCACGGCCGGAGGTGTCCTGCAGCGAGTGACCCTCAATGTGACATTGATGGCTCTTAATTCCTAAGCCTGCTTTGGAAGGATTTCAGTAGATCCAATTTAATCACTGCAGCCTCTTCATCTCCCCTGTCTCAGCTCAGGGTAATGTTATGCATTCTCCTGCACCGCTTTTCTCCAAGAACTGGCCACCCTCCTCTCCCTCCGGGGAGCTCCAGCGTGAGGCCACCAAGCCCTTCACCTGCAGCACGGTGTAGGGCTGCCAAAGCCACAGCTGCCCTCGGCCTCTTTACCACCACACAGCCCAAACAGCATTTGCTGGATTTCCTGTGCCTGTGGGAGGACTCATTGTCGAGCTAACGAGGGGCACAGCTCCCTGCAGGTGCACCCACCACCTCCCCACAGTTGCATAGCATTAAACATTTAAGCGCCTGTCAAAATGTTGTAACTATTTTTTTGTCTTGTTCCATTAGCTTCATTTCGAAAGGCCACCACCAGAACTACTGAACATTTATTTCTATTGAATCCAGCTTAGAAGTTATGATCTGAGGAAGCAGGAGACAGGACAGTATGTTCTGCGGCACCGGCTTTTCCCCACCACCGCTCAGCTGAGACACGTTGGCCTTTGAAATATCATTTTTATTCTTACCTTAGAAAAGCTAAAATAAAGAGATTGAATCTTCCATCTGCTTGATTTGCTTTTGCTGTTTAAATAAGGTACATAAATATCAGTTAGGTGGCTGCCCTGTGTAAGTTTTTGGGCTGTGTGTTTAAACACCTGGCATAGTTTGTGGTACCAGCCGTGGGAGCTGGATTTCCTCCCCAGATGCAAAATAAAGCGTGGTTATTACATGATTTTCCTGTTGCTAGAGAGGCACACACATGAATCTTCCTCCCTCACTGTCTGTGCATGAACAATGTCTTATTATGCAAATATGAGGAGTATTAGACAAAAAGCACGGAAGAAAACCAGTGGAGCCAGCAGTTTAGATGGAGTGAAGCATGGGCAGGGGTGGGCTGTGGGGATCAGTGATCCCCAGGTTAGCTTTATGTTTACTTTATCAGCAAGAAGTGCAGAGCAGGAGGGAGTTGCATGGGGCTGGGGACACCTGCAGCCCCCAGGGACACTGGGGAGATGCCCAACACATCATCCCATGGTCACAGAATCCTGCACCAAGGTCACTGCAGGGCTGAGCTCGCCCAAGCAAACCCCGAGTTTGCATGAGGGAGTTGGGTTTGCTGCAGGACAAGGGGACAGCACTGCTGCTGGCAGCCCTGCAGACAACAGCCTCCCCTCCTTCAGAGTAAAAAAAGGGAAATCTAAAGCCTTCTTAAAGACTTCCCTGCGTTTAAGTTCCTTGCTATTTAAAGACATGTGAGAGCCCAAGAGTTGCAGCCCGGCTGCCTGTGCCTGGATGCTTTGCGAAGTTGTAATCCCCACCAGTGACATCACAGGCTGTTACCATGGGGATGTCACAAACTCAGAGCTGTGACTTCATCACAGCAGAGATCGGGAGCAAGGGAGGCAGTGCTTCCCAGTGCCTCTGGTAATTAGCAAACTGGCATGGAAAATGAGGATGAAACACACAGGACAGGGACATAAAACCATTTAGCAAGTATCGTCTATTGGAAAGCATTCCCTCATGAGAAAGCGCCTCCTTAATGTATCCTGAGCTTTTAAATAACCCACAGAAGGCAGGGAATAAAATAGAAATTATAGTGATTTGTTTTATTGGGCATTTCATTGAGTAATTAAGAGGATAATTATGAGAAGGAACATTAAAAGGCGTTACTCTCAGCCTTCATCCTGCTTTAGAGGAGTATCCTCATATTGGATGTGCAGCATCATCCAACATTGTCCTGTGCCAACGCAGGTTTCCCTTCAGGGAGGAAGGCATGCTTGGATGTGAGAAGGGGTGAAAAACATCTCCCTTGTGGCCTGACAGGATGCCAGAGTTCTGCCAAGAAATGCAGGGTGGGAACAGTAGGTTGCAGGGAGCAAACCCCACCTTTACGGCGTCTCCTGGCACACGGTGTCAGGTCCTTGTGCATTGTGTGTCATGCAGGGAGAGGCTAATGGAAAAACTGGAGAGAGATCAGTGTGGTGCGAAGTACTGATGGAGCACCACAGCCAAGGCAGAAGTGGCAGGAAGCTGGAAATCCAGCTGAAAATTCAGCACAAAGGTGACCCTGCACCATGAGGGCAGCTCTCACCCACCCCCCTTCTAACACCCATCCCCTCTTGTGTCTCCTCACCTTTGGAAAACATATACAGAACTACTTGTTTAACTAATCCAAATCCAGACACAATTCAATCTAAGCTGCCTCTCTAAGACTGCCAGTGTTTCCCACAGATGAGGAAGCCTTGGTGCTGGCCAGCACATCCATGAAACACATCAGTGAAACAAAGTCCCCAAATCTGTAGCTCCTTTCCCACGCCAGCACATCTCGCTCCACCCCATTTACCCACCAGCACAGACACACTCCAACAGAAATGTCAGGACATCAGGTCCCACCACAGGCTTCCTCTGGAGCCCATGTCACATGCTGGGGACTCCAATGCTCACAATACTCCCACCTTCTAAGAGGCCCCAGGTGAAAACCAGCCCCAGTGACAGCAATTTGTCCACTTCAAGTCCCCAGAGGTCACTGCAGGGAGCAAATGTGTCGATAAGGGAAATGCAAACAGGAGTGATGGACATGATGAAGAGCAAGAGCTTCACCAGAAACAACAACTCCCACTGGACAGGCATCTATAAACACTGAGATGACAGATGAGCTAATTCCCACTATTTCCTCAAACCACTTGCACAGGTGGCAAAAGAAGCAACCAACCCACCTAGATAAATGAGAAACCCAAAACTGCAATATCACAGTGCTGACCAGTTGCCAAGATCTAAGTTGCCCTTAGGTCCTTGTTTGCTACAAAACATACATTTAGGGAAGCAGACTGAAGAAGGCTGGCATGTTTTAAACTGGCCTCTGTTTTTCTCTCTAGGGAAAAAACCCCTTTTTTCTCCCTTGAGAGATGGATGTGGCAGCCATAATCCAGTTTCTATGCTGGATTTCAGGGACAGTGGCTTGTCCGTGTTGAGCCCAAAGCATCAGACAACTGACAGAAAAATCCACATTCAGGAAGTCACCAACCCTCCTTTTTCTTGTCCTGGGAACCACAACTCCCCTCTACACTCCCCTACTCATAGGGAGCAATTTCCATCTCTTCAAAAGAGAGTAAAATCGGCTTTTTGGCTGCTGGCTGGCCCTTCCAGGCACGGGAACAGCTTTCTGGGAGACTAGAGTGCTCAGCACAGCCCTAAAACAAGGCTCCTGTTTGAAGTGCATGGATTGAGGCTGGATTAAGAAAACCCAGGAGGAGTGCTTAGCTCTGCTCCTGCTCTAAAAACGCTGTTCAGCAGCAGCAGCCACCGCAGCTTCATCCTGCTCAGCCCTCCCTCCGTGTGATGCCTTCGAAGGGCCGGGGAAGCGGCGATTCCGTACGCGGAGCGGGAATGGCAGGGTGTCGCCCTGATTCTTATGTTTTTCTAAAGCCTTCTGAGTTTACATTCTGTTAGAAAACTTTCCCACACAATTTCTGTAAACAACATATTGTTTTGCATTCCTTCATAAGGGTAGAGAAACTTGATGTACTAGTGGTTTGTCCAATGTCTTTGGAGAGGTGGCCCATTCACTCTCCAATCCACTGTCACCTTTGGAAAAGTATAAATACTGGAGTCAGAAAATAAACTCTCTCTTTTACCTTGCAAAATAGCAGGTGGCTCGTGTTGTGCTTTCACATGTCCTATAGCGACAGCAGGGCTCTGCTTCCACATGCTGCTGGAGCACCCAGAGCAGAGCTGATCTGGTTCTCACTAAGGAGGAGGATCAAAAACCTCCACAGGGCAGGGAAAGAACAACAGCAAATGCAGGACAAAATGCCACCACTAACCCCCACTAGAGCCTGAATATCCTTGCACTGCTTGGGTGTTGGAGAATGGTTGCAAGAGAGGGGTCATGGATCAATGGGACAGTTATTCATTGATACCTCTGTCTAAGACCCCAGAATCAGAATCAGGCTGTGTCTGGCCTGGGAACAGAGCTTGGGAAATAGGCTCTGTGTCTAGGCCTGGGTAACTGTACAAGGTCTGTCTAGGCCTGGGAAATAGTACAAGGTCAGAATGAGATAATAAGGATGAGCATATCCTTGGAGATATGCTTGTACAAGAATAAGCTGTATGACAAGATGTGCCCAGAGAAGATGGGATGTACCATGACGACGTTACTAGAGATGAGAAACTTGGCTTAAAAAACCTAGCTATAGCTGTAAATGCACATAGGCTAAAAAGAACTAAAGACCTTTGTAAATTGACCAATGAGAGCTGTTGCTGACTTTGCTTGTAGCAAACCCTATATAAACTGACAGGATTTTTGAATAAATGAAGCTTGCTTATCAATCATACTGATTGTGCTTGTCTTCCCGCCGCCTGCGGCTTCACTTGGGTGCAGGCAGACACTTATCTGTGGCTTGAGACAAGTTTAGAGAATCCCTTCTGAAGTTTCCCTTTTGCAAACACCTTATTTCCCCCCTCTAATCAATGCAATGAGCAAGCTTAGTGAAACACAAATAGGGAACAGAGCATGAAACAATTTTCCAGCCCATACCTGAAAGTGCATCCTTCTTTTCTCAACAAGCAGCAGGGAGGACGTTGCTGTCTCTCGGTAATTTTCCAACATCCTGTGTTGCAGGTAGATTTATGCACTGATCATAGTTGAAGCTGTTAATAAAAAAGTGCAAAGAAAACGGATTTTACTGTGAAGTGTAGGGCTGCTTTTCTCCCAGCTTTGCATTATCATGACTTCCTCCTTTTTTAATCTTTTTTTCTATGATTGACCATGTTTGGGGTTCAAAGCTTCAAAAATAAATCGTGGATCGTCTTTCATCTACTATGCATGAGAGAGTCAGAATCATTACATGGTTTAAATGGATATTTTGGGAGCAACTCTGGACCAAGCAGCTCCTGCTTTAACTGGGAGCCAGAGGGATGAAGCTAATTTGCAAATAATGTTACATGCTGGTTTTGCTTGAACGCAGGGAAAAGCTGCAGTGGCTACTTGTCATTCTTTGTGAGAAATTGAACAAAATGGAAATCAGTTCACTAGTTAAAAAAGAAATATATATATATATATAAATAAAAAATCTGCAGCAGACCAATTTCTCCCGCATCAGGGGAACATCCTAGGACTGCAATTAAGCTGTAGCTCAGCACAAACCCTACAGCTGACTGAGCGCTGAGGACAAACACACCGGCCATCCTTTTCCTGGGAGCAGATTTTTAACTTGGTGAGCTGTGAGATTTTCCTCAGCTCCACTTGAGCCACTTCTTCCTCAGGCAGTTCAAAAGTCAACTTTCCCCTTTAGCATCACTCACGCCTTCCCCCAGGAGCAGGGAGCTCCGGATTCTGCAGCACTGCACCTTCCCAGGGAATCACCTATCGATGACTTTGTGGCTAGTGTCTACAAGGGGAAGCAGAGGAGCTAATATAATGTAATTTTCCATGTTTACTGCATTATTACAGTGGTTGAATCCGCTGATTAGTTCCCTTTTTTTTTTTTTTTTTTGCTGTCTTGTCCTAAGCATCCCTTTTATTTTTGCCCTGCTTATCTGCATAGAGTCATTTATTCACATGGCTGCTGTAACAGCAAGCAGGACCAAAGCTATCATTTCTCCTCCCTTTCACATTTTAATCTTGCAGACCTCAATCTCTGTGATACTGCTATTACTTTGTCCATATCTGATCTAACAGGAACCTGCCATTATTCTTTTTTTTTTTTTTTTGCCTTAAAAAGAGAAAACTAATCTGAGCAAAAGATCATGGTGGCTGTGGCACTAATGATCTCTGGCATACCTCCTTGCAATGAATCCAGTGCTAGAACAGAGAATGTTTGTTTCCCTTCTCTCTACAGAACTGCAGGACTGACCCCTCATGCACAGGCATCTCCCACGAATAAACAACATCGTCCCAATCTCCTGGGGGATCCATTTCTCTGCCAACTATCTCAGCAGCTCTTCTTATTGTCTTATTTATGCAAACAGTGGAAAAACAACTCAAGAGGAACCACTCTTCAACAACATGACTGTTACTGGTTTATTCAGATTTGCTCCCCTACGAGCTAGGAAAGCCTCTTGCCCCAGTGGTTATTAACTGAAATGAAGAGTGGGGAAATTTCCTGTAATATGAACAAGAACAGAAAAAATGCTCTTCCTTCCTGTTCTTTGAAGATCATGGCAAGACATTTTGCCCCCTGGGCTCCCTAATGCTTCCCCCCCACCACTGAGCTATTACCCGAACTGGAGACCATCCACTGAAGCACCAAGCCAAGATGCTCTGCATATGCCAACCACATCAGCCAGAAAGGGTTTGCCTGGGAGAGGCAAGGAGACAAATTGAGGAATCCTTCTACTCCCTTCTCCTGCATCACGAGGTTTTTCAAACAGCGGTCGCTCCCTCAGCGTTCTCACTTCATGTCCACAATCTGCACCCTCACTGTGGTTTGTACCCAGGCCATGCTCTTCACCTCTGCTTGTTGTCCAGACCATCACATGCCCCCCTGTCTCCCAGGAAAATCATAAATAAATCAGGGGCCATTTTCAGCTCTTGGTCTGTGGTGCAGGCAGGGATGTGGAACTGCTTCAAAGACACACAGCTCTGGCAGGGCACAGGGTCTTGCCTGTCCCCTGTCCAGGATTTACACAAATGAGACTTCTGGAAATCAAACTGAGCCCTTCTCCACATCCTCTGCTGATTTGGAAAATCCCTTGCTCACAGAACTCACAGCTGCCCAAGCTGTAGCACTGCAGGAACCTGAGTGTTCCTTGGTCTGCATGCACCCCAGCACGCGTTATATACACTGTTATATACTTATATATATATATATATATATATATATAGTTATATACTCTAAAGAGCAATATTAATTTTAAAGCTACTAATATTCATCAGCTGTCCCTCACTTCACCTCACAAGCCTGAGAGCTGTAACAAAAGAGCAAATTCCATCTCAGAGCATCTGTAAGCTGTGGTCTGCAGCCCAGCTCCGCAGCTCAAGGTCCCACAGGCATCTTCTGCAAGTAGTGGGAACCCGTAAAGATCTTCTAATGCAAGCAAGCATAAAAAGGCAGAAATGTCAAAAAAAACCCCCAAAAAAACTCTCTTATCCTTGTCTTTGAAAGTCAGGACTAAAACAAGCCTCCCAGCTCTGCCAACACTGATCTGACTTCTCCTGTGCCAGTCTGCACCCCTGTGACCATCCCAGGAGCCCAGGTTTGCTCAGCGGCAGCCACAGCAGTCATTAGATGATGATAATTTAGTTCTAAGAGAAAGTCTGCATTTCCAAACGTGTCCCTTGCCCTCCTCCTTGGGAAAATGCAGCTCCTTGCAGGAGCAAGAGCCAAACAAAAGTCGCAACAGACCCATCCCAAATCAGTTCTCACAGGACAGGACTGTCTATTGATCACACAACATACACTTTGCCTCCCAAAAGTGGCATTTGCTCCCATCAGAGGTGCTCCATCAGCACCAGGAGCAGGGCCATTTCTGCCCTGAATCCTCCAGCTACTCAGCAGGACAAGCAGAGCAGGAAGGCACCAGCCCAGGCAGGGGATCTGTGTGTCAGAAGGGCACATGTGCAGGTACAAAGCATTCTTTGCACACCAGCAGCTTTCCTGCTGCCTTGGCACATCAGCACTGGTGGTGAATCACATCTCCTTTGTATTTCACTTGGAGGAACAGGGAGAAAGACATAATTCACAGAAGAGAGTCACAAAGAGGCCCACCTAGGAAAACAGGCTATTTTTGGCACTATAATCCCTTTCCTGTGAAGAAGAGAGGGAGGCCCAAGAGACTGAAGGAGCTGCTGAAGCCCAGAGAGGAATCTGCTCGCAGAGCCTGGGGCATAATTCAGATATCAGGGACCAACAACCAGGACTAAGACCCACGTTTAAAGACTGAGACCTGTGTTTCACCACCTGCCTGCCCACCAATCCTGCTGTGAGCAATGCCAGTGTGGCATGCTGCAGAGCAAGAAGGTAACCAGGAGCACTCTGCTTGCTTCCATAGACCTTTCCCAATCATGCAAAGACCTGGCTCTTCATTTGAGTGCTAATTCTCCCTCTCTTTCATCCCAGTTTTTTGCAGCTTTTCCACAAATCCAGAATACATTTGAGCGATCAGCACAATGTTTAGTGAGAAAATCGTATGCTACATTTCCGCTTGGCATGATTTTGAAATGGTTAAGCTGTTAAGCCCTGAAAGGGAAGTTTTAAGAATACCGTGAATAAAAGAAGCCAAAAACAAAAATAAACCAACAGCAGCAAAATTAGAGCATGACATAAAGGAACCATTTGGATGGATCCTTTTTTCCAGAGAAATGGTGCATGCTGGCTGCTCCAGTGTCAGGAGCTCTGCAGTTGTGTAGCACTTGGACTTCCATTACAACGGCAGAGAAACAAATGGAAAGTTATCACTAGCACTCAGGAGAGGAAGTTTTCCTAAGCTGTCATCAAATCCCTTACAAACTTCTCTAAACCATGGCCACATTGTCCCTGAGGCTCCCTTTGCCCCACTCTGTCCCAGCAAGGGAGATGCTATCACACACCTAAAGACAGGCAATGGTCCAGGGTGGGGTACTTCACCCAGAAATGCTTATATACCCACATTTTCCAGATAAACTCTTCCAAGGAGAAGCAAATCCTGCCCCAACGTGTGTCTCACACAACACAACCCCATGATGCTGGTCTAAGGACAGCAGGTTCTGCCCAGAGTGTTCAGGGGACAGGGGGCACTCCCTGCCTTCACCAGCCAATTTGATTCACACAGTGCAGTGACAGCTGTGTGGCCCCTCTGTCCCTGTGTCACTCAGAGGTCCCTCCTGAATTATGCATTACCCAGTAATATAAAATAGTGCTTTGCTGCTGTGCACACTGACTCAGTGACTTGTGCAGCCAGTTACTGGGCTGAAGGACACAGCTCAACCACGACCATTTTACGCTGATTTTTGTCATAAAACGTGATACAATGCTGGATCAAAAGACCTCCCAGAATCCATACATGTGACAGTGTCCCACTCCAGCTGTGATACAAAGCATTAAGGTAATGACAGCTGCATTTATGCCTGCTACTTTTAGATCCACCCAACCCAGAGCAGCTGAGAGGAACAAGGGCTCTCTTCTGCCACTCCAGCCTCCCCTGAGCCACTGTGAAGTGTTTGCTAGTCAAAGAGCTCCTGCAAGAGAGCCCTCTCACCTGGATCAGAGACATCAGGGCAGGTCATCTACAAAGGTAATGGTGGGAAAAACATCATTTCTGAGCACGTTCATGTCTGTGCACATCTGTGCAGAGGTCAGGCACGCTCTGGGTAAGGGCATCTCCTGTCCAGTTCTGTACCCTGACCCAGCTTCAGCTGGGAGTGATAAAGAAGATGAACAAACAGCCAAAACCAGCCCTTTCCCCCACGCCCTACAACTTCTCCAGCTCAGGTCCTCGCCCCTCCTTCTTTCTGAAGTGCCAAAGGATCTCACACTGGGTCTGCAGTCACAGGATGAAGCCCATGACCTGTACCCCCAAATACCTCAGGAACCTGAGCAGTCAGCCCACCACCTAGATCCACCCTAGGAGGAGTTCTAAGACTTGTCCAGACAAAGCCAACACCAACCTGAGTCACCACTGGCCAAAGTCCTGCTTCAAAAAAGGAACTGAGCTGCAGAGTCCCAGAGTCC